AGCCGAAAGTTGGATAGCGATTGCTATTCGAAACTTTTCTGTTATCATAAGGCATTGATCGGACAGCGCCCCGCAGTTGGAGCAAATAAATGAGCGCAAATTATTTCTCTCACTGATTACTTGCTGCTATTATTTATTTTTTTTCTTGCTGCTTCTTTTATCGTATGCAAATTTAGATTTTTAAAAGAGAAACTTTTTACGCGCGTTAATTACGTCGAATTTAGTGTAAAAGCGAAATTAATTTGTGGCGAATTTATCGAGTAATTTATGGGAAGGTGCGAAAATTAGGTGATACATTTAAAAAATTAGGAAAAAAAGCGGAAATAGATTCTATCCAATAATTTGTTCAGTTTAAATACGCATTTTATGAGGAGGTTTTTCAAAGTTGTCTATATGGTATCTAATCTAAGTAAAAGCTCCTTAAATAGTCGGCCAAATTTTTTAATTTTTGAACCCCACCTCGTTTCCCCGATATTGATCCAAGTATGATTCCATAAGCGGTTTAAATGCCTTTTGTCGAAAAAATAAAACTGTTTCTGGGAAAAATGTGAGAAATTTCAGTATGAAACGAAAAAAAACTACTAACAACCACATCTAAGAAGTTGTCTAGCTGTCGGAAAAGGCTCATACCCATACAGTAATAGAGGTTTTAGCAGGCATCACCGCTTGTGCAATCGTGCCAAAATTATGTAGTGAAAATAGCAGAGTAAATAGCAAGTTGGAACTACGTCGATTCTCCTGTTCCTGTTCCTGTAACCGAAACTAGTTGAAATAATTTTAGGGTTCCCATAAAAAGAAAAAAATTGAATTTTTTTTTAATTTTACAAAAAATTTCACTAAAACTTAAAACTATGTAGTTGAAAACAAATAAAAAATGCCCGAAAAAAAAATGTTATTTTAATTTTTTTTCTGGCATATTTCGAAAAATTCTAGTTATGCGGTTTTATAGCCACTTAAGTTTAAGTATAACAAAGTGATGGTTTCAAGTGGCTAAGAATTCATGTTGATTTTTTTCCACAAAAGTAAAATGTCCTCGATATAACAGCAAACAACTTATTAAAAATACACACAATTTCTTAGCTACTTGGAAATTACACATAGCGTTGATAGTAAAAGTGCATATCCAAAATTTTTCTAAAAATTGCCAAATTTTTTTTTTTATAACAATATTTTTTATTTTGTAACATTTATTTGCAGGAAACAGGAGAATCCTTTTATTCGGAATTTCTACTTTTTCTGCACTTTGCACTACGAAGTTGAATATAAACAAACAAAACTTTTAGAATTTAATTATCTTTT